TATATATATATATATATATATATATATATGTATGTATGTATGTATATATGTATATATATAGAAAGAAATAGAAGAGAGGAATAAGCAAAAAAATTTAATTTATATAAACAAATAAAAAAGAGAAACAAAGAAAAGAAAAATATATACAGGTAGATGCATACATCTTTATTTAGGGGGCCCACCACAAACAAACAAAATAATAAATAGATTAAAAGAGACACAGAAACAAATATAAATAAACTGAAATTTTATTTTTTGTTTTTATATAAAACTTATTTTATATGCAGAAGAAAAAACAGAAAAAAAACAAAAAAAAAACGACAGCAACGTTACAAATAAATAAACAAATAAATAAATATAAAAATAAATAAATATAAAAATAAATAAATAAATAAATAAATGTATTTCTTTAAATAAATATTTAAAAAAATAAAAAAATATAAACTGCTATTTATTTATTTTTTTTCTGTTGGTGTTTTCTTTTTTTGGTATCAACGCGGTGGTTGCGGCTGATACAAATTTAGTATTTCATAAAAAAATGAATAAAAAGTAAAAAAAATAAAATTTATAAAAATAAAATTAAAAATATAATTAATTTAAATTATATTTAAATTAAATTAATTTATTTTTCTTCTTTTTTCTGCACGAGAGCCACTGGACTGCGTCACCGGTGCAGGTACACCGGCGCAGTCAGCCCGGTGCTGTGCGTGAAATATGAATAAAAAAACCAAAATTAAACGCAAAAATTAAAATTTAAAAACTTTTTTAAAATATTTTTTGTTTTAAATAAAGATAAATCAAAAAGAAGCGGAGAATTTGATTCATTTTTATCGCTTTCTCGCGTGTTTCTGATTCAGTACAAGTCGGCAGTGGTCCTGCGCACACAAAAGGATATATATGAGATGCTCTTCTTCTTCTTTTTCTTTTGGCGTTTTTTTAAAAAATTAATTTATAAATTAAAATTTAATTTGTTTTGTAATTTATGAAAAAAAAATTAAATTTAAAAGAATAAAAAAAAGCAGATGTTCTGGTGTATCTGCAGGTCGAGGTGGTGCTGAGATGATCGTTGCAGTACCACTGGGGCTTTTGCCGCCTAAACGACGAAATTTTTTCTTTTTTTGAAAAAAAAAATAAAAATAATTAATTTGATTCAAAATATTTGTTGTTCTGACTTTTATTTTTCAATTGGCGGTCTGTGGAGTGCATATTTTTCTGTTGCTGCCTCCGTCGTTCGTTCTGCGTCGGCTTCAGGTTTCTGGTGCCGCCTGCTTTTTTTTCTTTTTATTTATTTTTGTTTTTTTCTTTTTTTTTCTTTTTTTTCTTTTTTTTTGCTTTTTTTTCTGTTTGCCGATGAAAAGAGGATTAAAACAAGTCCATTTACCTCTGGGTTGCTGCAGCCGCTCGCCTGCTGCTCGATACACCGGCGGAACAATTTGTGTGAAAAAACAAAATATTATACAAATTAAATAAATTAAATTTTGTTTATTTGAAAAAATAAATTTAATTTTTTTATTTTTTTATAAAATTATAAAACTTTTCTTTCTTTTCGTTTCCTCGATTTCAGCATCATGGTGCTGCAGCTGCCCGATATACCGCAACCTTCGGTATATAAAATAAATTAATTAAATTAAATAAATAAATTAAATTAATTAATTAAATTAAATAAATTAATTAATTTAAAAAAATAAATAAATTAAATAAATTAATTAAATAAATTTTGCACTGGATTCATTTTATTAGTTTTACATGCTAAACGAGGTGTATAAATTCAACTTTTTTTATTTTCTTTTTAATTGTTATATTAAGCAAATAAAACAATAAATTAATTATTTTGTTTTATTTATTTTATTTTTAATTAATGAAATAAAAACATATATATATAAAATAATAAATATATGTTTTTTATTTTTTTTTTATTTTGTTTCTGCTGCGGTGTATGCTGAAGGGGGAAACGGAAGATGACGCCATCGACTTACACCCCAACGAAGTAAACCAAATAAAAAAAAAATAAATAAAAAATAAATAAATAAATAAATAAATAAATAAAATCCTTTTTTATACTATTTTACTTGTTTAATTTTGTTTGTTTTATTTCTTTTAGAAAACTGTACATATTTTCTTTTCTTTTTTTATTTTCTTTCTTTTGTTTATTTCTTTTTTTTTATTTTTTTTTATTTTTTTTTATTTTTTTTGTTTTCATATCATCAGGGTCCTCTCCCCCCCTCAGCTCCAATCCACGGAGGTACTTTCCTTATAGAGACAGCGGGGCCCTTCGCGCCGCAGTTTAACCGCAGCAGCAGCAGCAGCAGCAGCAGCAGCAGCAGCAGTTGCTGCAGCAGCAGCAGCTGCAGCAGCAGGAGTTTATTTGGGTTTTGTAGTTGTTTAGGGTTTGATAGAAGCTGCACAGCAGCAAGAGAAACAACAAAAGCAGAAACAACAGATGGGGGGTTCACTGGGGTGTATAGGCAGGTCACCTCTCCTCTTCCTTCTTCTTTTATTTCAGCTCCACTCAGCAGCAGCAGCAGCAGAGCACCAGCAGCAGCACCAGCAGCAGCAGCAGCAGCAGCAGACGCGGGCACTTATTACACCCAACACTGGAACACGATTCAA